AACTGTCTTCTTAGCACCTCCCTCCATAAAACTGACTGGACCATGTCACCTGAAATATCTCAGCCGTACACACAGAGCAATCAAGATTCCCCCAGGAACCTTACAACCTCTGAGTACAAAGAGTAAAAGCACCCACAGACTTTACAGATGCTATAAGGGTGACAATGACCCCCCTTTAGCCAAGACTGAACAGTCTTTCATTGACAACTGATCAAATCCAGCTTGTGACCTGAGTTATAAATGCTGTCCTCCTCCTTCTCCTACAGTTTGTTGCCAGTTGTCTATAAACTGGTAGGAGACTAGTGAAGTACTTGATGTAGGCAGCGCTGAGGGATTCACAACTCAAAGAACGTTAAAAATAAATTAGAAATCAGGCTAAACCGTGTAACAAAAGGAATAAGATGTTTAAGCTCTAGCAAAACACTCCAAGTCTTCAGCATGCACTAGAAACACTATTAAAAACAATTTTTACTAAGAATCATAGAATCTTTCGAGTTGAAAGAGATCTTTAATGGTCACCTGGTCCAGCTCCTCTGCAATGAACAGGGACATCTACACGTAAGTCAAGTGCTCATACCCATCCATCCCGACCTTGGGTGTCTCCAAGCACAGAGCTTCTATCATCTCTCTGGGCACCTCATGTCAGTGCCTTGCCACCCTTAGTGTAAAAAACTTCTTCCTTATGTCCAATCTAAATTTCTCCTCCTTTAGTTTGAAACTATTTCCCCAGGTCCTATCAAGTTGTCCAACCAAATCTCTCTCCTGTTCTTCCAGGCTTTATTTTCCATTCTGAGATGCTATTGTTTCCATAGTATTTTTATTATTAGACATATTTCAAGATTATTTTATGAGTCAATATAATAATCTAATACTTTCTAATCTAAAAGTCCAAAAAGAGTTGCACGCATTAATAAATACTACAGAAAATGTAATGATTACACCATCTTTCCTCAGAGCAAATATGTTCTCTGTCTTTCTCGCAGACAAAGGGGGGTGGGGGGGAAGGGGCAGAGGGGAGGGGGGTGAGAATCTGAAACAATATACAGGATAGCTGTTAGCAAGTGGGAATTTACAGGGGGAATGGGAGTGCTGGGGAGCGATGGTTGGTTTGGAGCGCAGAGGGCTGTGGGATGGAAAAGCCCCCAGCCATAGGGACTGGCTTTAGGCTGCATTATCTCTACTCAAAGCCAGTCCCAATCCACAAATGAAAGGAGCCAACCTGTTGTCAAAGTTTGCAAGAAGTTAAAGGTGGTTCTGATGGAGCCTGTCAAAGTTACTGTGAACAAACTCTATGCGTGAAATCACAGTTTCCTTTAGAGACCATCTTCATGAAAACAGTGGGTTTGAAAGTTTTCTTAAAGCAAACCAAATTCAATATTGGTTAGCAAGAACCTCCTGGAAAAATGTCTGCGTTTGCTGAAATGTTTCAAATTCTTATTACAAAGCTTAACACTAACAATAGTTTTCTTCAACTGGGAAAGTATCAAGACAACTCTACATGAACTAATTGTGTGTGAGCACACTGTATGCATTTGATGGCACACACTGCAAGTATCACACAAACAAGTTTGAACGATACATCATCAAAGTCTCATTTTAAAATGTAAGAAGAATAGAAGACAACTAGGCTTTCTGCTTCACTGTTTTAGAATTCTTTTGCAGATTATAATGCAACATGCTAAAGTTTCTTCATCACAGCAAACGTGTGGCAGGGGAGTCACACCTTCAGCTCGCTCACAAATAATAAGTAATTAAGTGACTGGATGAGCAATGATTCTGTTCAGTGAACTGCTTACAAAAAGAAGCAATTGTACTGCAGTTATAACATGGACTTAAATGGATAGTACCATTTGTCACAAAAAAGATTTTGGTGTACAAAGATAGATTTAAAGCGTTCTTCAAAATAAGACTTTTCCCCATGAAGAAGGATGTCCATTTCTCATTTTCATCTGTTGGGGATTTTCCCACACCCAAGGCAAGCCAAGCGCTCTGGGCTCATACCATATTCCTGTGGTTCTAATTTCTACATCAAAGCTCAGCATGGTCTCTTATTGCCTCAGAAAGCAACATGCATGAAAGCATCCAGCGAGCTTCTCACTTTGGTGAAGGTCTTCAGGGATCCCAGCAGGAACGACTGTATATTATGGATTAGCAGAACAGAAAGCATATAAGAGCAGCGAAAAAGAAACAGGGAAATATAAGAAGAGTTTGGGATGCCACAATTTCTAGTTCTTGCTTTGATGAGAGCTTGGGTATGTCAAGGGGGTTAGATGCAGAAAAAACTATTTGAGATTATGAACTAATTTTAGTTTCCTGATCCATGCATAGAACTGGCATCCCTGACAGGTATTAAGGACTCATCAGGCTTCACAACAACCAGCATGCTGAGAGAGGAGCTGCCTGATCAGCAAATAGGAAATTCTAGTAACAAATGTGCTCCTAAAATCCTGCATCTCTTCTAAGTTTTGCAGATGTTCTGGAATAATACAGTTATGTCTTTTATTTCTTTGAAAGAATAACAGCCATCATTCTTTTCCTTTAAGGCATAACAAAAGGAGAAGCTGGTAACCTTAACCCTCTTTTTAATACAGCGTTACGACAATGAGAACACTCACTCTTCATTCAGGAGATCCAAACTCTGCTGTCTAAAAGCCTGACACTCATTTCTCACCATCAGGCACAGCGATGCTGAAGCTAATTCCCAAGAGAAGACTAAGAGCAAAAAAAGAGCATGTGGAAAAGGAAGCAACTGTAACTCAGTGGGTCCATGGACTGGCTGGAGCCTGATCTGAAAGTTGACAATTCTTAAATAAAAGAAATAGCTCTTGGTTTTGAAACCAGTTAGAATAAGTGGACTGTAAAGCCATGTTCCCTTCTTCTCTCCCTCTCCAGGCCATGAATATTTAATTCCTTTATGCAAACTGGAAGAGTTGCAATACAAGGTTAAATTAACCTAAATAACCTTGAAATCCTTTGTCAAGTTGGGCCTCTGACTCAACTCCCAGTCTGAGATGGAAGAACTTTCTCTGCACAATGAGTTGTGTATTTAACCTTATTTAAATACTGTGTGGTGTGACAAAAATCTTGGGGTTAGAATTGAGTTTGACAGAATTTTTAATTTGTTTAATATTTTCCAGGTTAAAGTCCATTGTTCAGGCAGTCCAATTGCTTAATAAATGTTTGCTTCTCAATTTTCAATACAAAATTCTTCCTGGGTAAAGGAATCATTTACAGTGTTCTCAAAACCTGATTTGATTAACACAATACATACACATGCTGGTGTGTTTTGCTGATCCCCATGTCTTTTCAGTGCAAATCTAATTAGAAAAACTTTATCTTTTGCTCTGCTTTGAGGCAGAGTTCCCTGCAGACCATCTATATGTGTAAGCCAAGTCAGTGTCTCATTCACATGTCATGACAGCATCAAAATAAAAAGACATTTTGAAGTCTAACATAGCAACTAAGTTTCAATTTGAATTCTTGAAGTTTTTTGTTTGTTTCATTTTCCTTCCTTCAAACCATAACCCTACAAGTCATTCTCATGGTTGAATTCAGAGGAGAGAAGCTGTGTCTCAGTGGTCAGACAATGCAAAAAACAGTTTCATGATCTTTTTATGGAAGGGAAATAAAAAACAAACACCTAAAGATTATTCATCACCCTGCCAGCTAATCTTTAAGACCTGGAAACCTTAGATGCTTCTATTTTAAGAGGTAGAAATAAGAAAAATTGTTTGAAAATCCTTATTAACAAAATCTTTACTAGAATAACGTGTACTTACTGTTATAAAGGCTGTTTTAACACTTAAATTATCTGCCTACTCAGCAAAATAAATGAAATATCCAACACAAATATTAGACTGGAACTCAGCAATGAAATAATGAAACTTTTTTTTTTCATATACCTGAGAACTTACAGACACAATTGAGAGATAGCAAAACAAGTTTGAATATCTCAGCATGGTATTCTATCACATCTCTCTTACGGCCCAGTGCTCATTGAATCTGGTCCTATAAATCATTTTTTTCCTAAATTTTAGCAACAGAGGAATTTGACAATAAATAGACATTTTGACTCAGCCTCAGTATAGATAACTCCCTCCCAACTTTATTAAGTCTATGCCAACATGTTTCAATTTTCCTCTGCTGTTTGCAGCTCCCAAGCAGAAGTGCTGAATCAGATCATCTCCCGAGCTCCCTACAAGCTCTGTCCTTTCTGACTGTAAACAAAGTTTATAAACTCAGCCTTCCATTCCTAACAATGTCAAATAAGTGACTGTCGTGCAACTGATCTGGCATTTCTTCCACGACATATACTTCTCATTAAGTGAATTTGTGCTAACAATCATAAAGTTTGAGAATGTTTCTTTGTTACAAAGCAAATTTGGAAGTTGAGAAGAAAAAAAAAGAAAAAAAAAAGGAGAGAACTGAACATCAGCATTCAGGCTTGTTACTGCTCTCCCACTGCCTGTCACAAAGTTACTGGCAACCTATAGGTGTCATCTGTCATTTGGTTACGACTCCAAGCAGCGCTGCTGCTTTAGAAACCAACAGGGCCCTTCCTGAGCTTTTGCTAATCACAGGTGAAAGGTCACTCTCACTGAGCACTGAGAAATAAACACAACTCGCTGACATGACAGGGCGAGCAGCGTCCGAGCACCAACACGGATTACGATCCGAATGCAAAAGTCCTGGCTCAGAAGAGATCTTAGCAGCGCTGGTCACGCAGCTTCCTAAAGATTACTTAGGACAAGAGAAAATCCCACTAGAAACACAGTAAAGTCAATACAATAAGCAACCTGTACTTAACCTCGCAGCTGTGATTAGATATTATTTAATGACAACGTTGATGGCATCGCCTGCTGACAGGCCGCAGGTCCCAAAGTAAAGCGGTTGGATGGAAGTAGAGTTTCCCATCTCCTTCCCGTGTGAGTCCTTCGGTACCTACTTCCAAGCAGGGAAACTTCTCCAGGTACTTTTCCCCACGAACCAATCGCACTCACCTTCTCGGCAGAGTCGCATCGCTTCTCGATTTTTCCCGTATTCCTTGAAACTTTCTTCTAGTGCAGTTCCTGAAACAGAAAGCGCCCGGAGCTCAGCGCACGCCCACCCGGCACAGCCCCGGCTCCGGACGCGGACCCTCCCGGGGGGCAGCGCCGCTCGGGGATGCTCGGCAGCACCGCGCCCGGCAGGGGGAGCGGGGAGGAGGGGACTGCCCACCTGCTGCCCCCGGCCCGGGCTGCACTCGGGCTCCCCCAGAGATCGGGCCCCGGATTAGGGAGCGGGGGGATAATAGAGGGGAGATCACCTCCTCCCAGGCCCTCCCACCGGTAGAAGGGCGGCTCGCGGGGGGGCCGGTCGCCCGCTCACCGTCGTTCCCGTGAAGTTTAGCAGCGTCGACCCAGTGGCTCCAGGGCTGCCCCAGCATCGCCTCGGGGCTGGGCAGGGACCTGCGCTCCCCAACGGCCGCCATTGCCGCTGCGGTGGCGGCGGGGCCGGCGCCGCTCCCGCCTCCTCCGCCTGCGCCTCCCTCGCCGTGCCGGGGCCGCCGCTGCCGCTGCCTGGCCGCCGCCGCTCTGCGCTGCTCCCTTCTGACGTCACCCGCGGCCCGCGCCGACATTCTTTCCGCTGCTACAATGTAACGAGAAAAGTCAGCGGGCGCTTAAGGTGGCGCCGCGCTTAAGGTGGCGCCGCGCCGCTGTCAGCCCCGCGCCCGCCCCCTCCTTCCCCGCCGGCTCTGCCTTTCCTCTCGGGAGCCTGCGAGCCCGGGGGCGGCTTCGACTCACCTCTGCGGCGGCCCGGGGGGCAGGAGCCGAGTGCCCATTATGTATGGGAGCGCTCCCTCGTCTTCGCCGCCCAGGTGAGGCGCGTTTGGGCGTGTTTGTGTGTTTGCGCTAACAAAGCGGCGGGGGCCGGGCTACGCCGCCCGCCAGGCGCTCCCCGGCTCCATGGGCCGCCTTTCCCTCTCCGCAGCACGACCCGCGACCCTACAAAAACAACGGCCGCATCACAACCCCGCCCGGCCGCCCTCCCGCTGCCGTCCCGGGCCGAGGGGCGGGCACGGGGCTGGGCCGGTCTCCCCGCCCCGCCCCTCCGGGCCTCCTTAAAGCCCGCCGGCGAGCGGCGGGGCAGCGGCGAACGGCGAGCAGGAAACGCGCCCCCGCCCCGGGACCTGCGCCGTGCTGGGGGCGGCCCCGCGCCGGGCAGCGCTTCGGGGCCGGAGGGCCGCGGGTGGCGATCGGCGGTGCGGCGCGGAACCGAACCGGGCAGCGTCTTCCGCGCGGCCGTTACGGGCGCTGCCGGCGCGGGCCGTTCGAACGCGGCGGTTTCCCCTTCCTTGCCCCGGTTTGGCTTTCCGCGCTGACTTCCGCACCGAAGCGCTGTTCCGGCTGCCCGAGCCGCCCGTGCCCTGAGACAGGCGCTACAAGTGACGAGCGCTCGGCGAGCTCCCTGAAACTGAAAGTATTTGAAAGACGCTTTCACGCCCCTTAACTGTTAATAACAAAGCTATGGAGTTCTCTAATAAACTACTTCCGACGCCAGGCTTTTCACTACGAGGTTCTCTTTCCGACCGACCGCTGTCTCAGCAGCGATCCCCCCGGAGCCGCCCGCTCCGCTCCCTCGCAGTAAAACCTCAACGCCCAACAAAGCCGTTGGGCCGCTCCGGCCCGGCCCTGCCGCGCTTGGTTCACGCTGCATTACGTCCTTCGTGGAAATACTGCCCGAAAGCACGGAGCTTAAAGGCTATAGGTGCTCCTTTCCCAATGTAGGAGTGAGAAATTTGCTGTGTGCGATCACATCAGGCAGGTAGGATGGGCTGCAATTACAAGCACGGTTTCAGCGTTCCACCCCACTGATCACGTCTGTCAAACTCACGCTGTTCTGTATTACAATGTTACGAGGTACTGTCAGGGAGATTTTTCTCCCCTGTTGATCAATCTAACTCCCTAAGAAAAGGCAACTTAAAAGGCAAACACCACAAGATGTAGATAAAGATAGCCCCAATGACTACCACCACAGCCAGCTGCAGTGATCCATCGGCTTCTGGAGCTGGGCCCTGATCCCTGCTCGATCAGTTCGATGCCTTTAACTGAACTGCCATTTCCCAGAACAGCGGAATCTCCTTCTGCTTTAGGGCCACATATGAGTACAAAGCGCCTAAGGGACCAGAGTTGAAAGATAACTATGGATGGAGGACGTTATTCCTTTATTCATTATCAAAGAGCATGTTTTATAATATAAATAACTACTTACAATTAAAGCTAAACACATCAGTGGGAGATGTCAGTCAGGTGTTAAAGCAATCCTGAATTTCTGAACAGAAGTTCAACTAATTTTGTGCTGTAAAAACCAGACAGGAGATGAATCAATTACTGATTGATTCTGAGCTCCACAAACACCCAGAGCTGAACTCAGACTCCAGCCATTGAACAAGGTGTGTTACAGTCATATCCTCAGTGTCAGATGTTCTGATTTCTATTACTGTGTTCACACAACTCTGCTTTGTCCTGAAGGAAGCTGTCAGCCAGCTGTCCCTGCTGCAATTTGAAAGACTGATGGCAGGGCCCATGAAATTCACAAAGGATTTCACTATTATTATTTATTTTTCATCATCCTATAGCAAATAGTGATGGGTGTCTGTACAGAGCACACCACCACCTGCCTTTCAGCAGCAACAGATTTTACACTGACACACTGAATTACTGTTCATACATCACAACTCTTTCCTTTAAATGTTACTGAAGTAACATTTATGTTATGTATGTTATGCTATATGTGAAGAATTACATAAAAGCAGAATGACTTAATTTGATAAAGTTGCCTTTGATCAGGTAAGTACCTTAATGAGCTAATTTATTGCCAGCTTTTCAGGTTCTAGCATGAACACTCATCAAGTTACACAGAAGTGGCTCTAGCTTTAAAAGTGCCAAACAAGTAAATATACACTACCTTTACTTCATCTATCTCCCACTGCCTCCTTCTCGCTGTTTTTTGTTCTTTCAAACCTGTTGTTGTGATTTTTCCCCTCTCTCTTCCATAGCTTTCTTCCTATACATTCCCACTCCAGATCTAATTCTGTGGTCTGGCCTCAGGCTGTCCCTTAGTAAAAGCTTCCTTCCTCTAGTAACAATTTTTCCCACTATGCCATGAATACATCAGTGTTCCAGCAGAGGGAGGAAAGTGGCAGCAGACAGATGGGTTGATCAGTTCAGTGCACAGGACTGATTAGTCAGAGAGCAGGAATATTCTCTCCCACAAACTCACTATGCTGAAGATGTGATCAGGTTGTTTCTGTTTTTATTTTTAAGCACACAAGTTCAATTCTCTTAAACCATTTCCAAAGCACTATGCATGGTTGTGCTGACAATTTTAGAGGAAAAGAGGGAAAGCCCTGAAAATCCATCCTATTAGAAAGTCAGAACTGAAAGCATGTATATAAGCTGTATACTTTGAACAGAGATGGCTATTAGGAATCTGACACACTCTGGTTGGGAGTACAGTCATTCACAGCTCCCTGGGCAATCAGTGGAGAGCCAAGGAAGCTTTTGAGATCAGTTTGGTCCCTCCTGGTCCAAAAAAGTTTTTGAAGAAGCCCTTTTCTTCTCACTAACCACAAAGTCAAGGATGACCATGCACTTAAATGAGGTGTCCAGAATTAAGAGCGATGAATCTGGTCAAGAACAGGAAGAACATTCCAGTGGGAAGAGCTGCCAAGAGGCTCATACTCCTTTAAGAGAGCAAAAAGTTGATTGCTTCAAACAGAAACACTGTCAATTCAAAGGGCTTAACTGAGGGAGCAAAACAGCCCAAGAAGTGATATTGGGAATGGGATTGTGACTGAACAACAACACACACAGTGAAGAACTGAAAGAAGAAAAACAAAAAACAAAAAACAAAAAAAACATGAGGGAATAAGTTCAGCTCAAAGAGATTAAGTGGAAAAGGAAACGTGAGTTAGGAGAACAGCAGAAAGCAGAAGCTCATGCAAGCCAAGTAGTGGGGTGAAGATAAACAAACAAACAAAAATACAGCACAACCTGTAAAAGGAACGAAAGAATGGAGTCAGGAAGAGAAAACGAAACACACAGAAAAGGGGATAATGCAGATTCAAAGCTCACTGAACAGATTCAGCAACATAGTAAGCATGGTTGGTAATGCTACAACTAACTGTATGCTTACCAACAGCAAACAACTGCTGAAAACTGCAGAGGAAGGCTACGTTGTGTCATGACACTGCAGGCATTTCCCCACATGCACTGACAGGTTTCATTCTTTTGCCAGGTGGTCCTGGAAAGCTGTTCAAACAGGGAACACCTCACTCAGGTGTTCAGTTGGAATCTGTGAGACAACCTTCGTACAAGACCTGAGATGTGATCATTCTTATTTGTAATGGAAAAGGAAGGGTGAATCTGCAGCTAATCTCTTATGAGCAGAAGTACAATGTTACTCATTGATGATTTTCCACAACAACTGTGAAAGGATGCATGAATTAAAATGTTGAAGGGAGAGAAAGGCAAAACGTATGAGGGCATTGTGTTGTCAGTACTCAGAAGAAAAGAAAATTGCACATTCACCAAAAAGCCTCTTGAGGAAAAGAAGTGAGGGGCATCAGTGCACAGATGGAAATCAAGGAAGTTAATTGTAACCAAAGGGTTTGAAGGAATCAAAAAAAGAAGAAAAAATATTATTACACAGACCTGTTTGTAGATGAGTTTCAGGCTGAAATGACAACTGGAGGAGGTGACACACAGAAGCGAAATCCCGACCCTCGTGTCAGCTCCTGCTGACAGCAGCAGAACTGGAGTAGATTTTGTGCATTTTAAAGTATGTCTGCACTATGAGAAGTAGAAGAATATAATTGGGCAAGTAGAAAAGCAAGAGATAAAAAGTTCATATAAATCAGCATGTCCAGGTGATGAGAGAACTATCCAGAATAACAAAACAGATCGTTTCATTTAAGCTCCACCATAGGAAAACGTTAACACAACTAAAATGCATTATGGTAATCTGTAGTTCACTCTCACCTCCAGTGAAATCAAGTGACTTCTCCCTTCATATACAGGACTGTGATCTCTCAGTATAATAACAACGAGCAGCACACAATAAAAAGTGAAACATCAAACCATGACAATCTATTATCCTTTTCTCACAGATCCTGGAAATAGTATAATTTTATTTATGAGTAACACTTCAAAGAGAGCTGAAGATGCTCAGAAGCTTTGGAATACAGCTATTTTAAATAGTGGAAAGTGAAATTACTGTGGATGTCTACTACAAACCACCTGTACCAGGAAAGAAAAAATTATATTGTTAAGATTAAAAAACTAACTTGAAGTATCTTTTTCTGAGAAGAATCACTCAGGGAATGGAGCCTAATAACTGTAAGCAAATCTGAGAATCCTGCATTAGGATGAGAACGCAACGGATGCCCTCACATATTTATTTAAGCTTCACAATGACTACACTGTTATATTAAAATAAAGTAACATTTTAATATCCAGATGATAAATGTATGCCACTGCCACGTCTTATAAAATACACAGCATCTGTCTTAGAAAATACTCTCAGTTCTCGCAGAGAATTTAACAGAGAAAATACAGAGCAGTAACACAATATTTGCAAATTTTAAATGTGAGTGGGTAAAACTACACATTATACTTTCAGTTAATGATTTGGAAATCAAACTAATCTTTATTTATTTTACATGTGCTATTGAATTCATCTTTTGAATTTGGAAATGTTAAAACAATCTTGGCAATCTGGCTATATAGATGAATAATTTTAATCAAAGGAATAAGAAATGGGTATGACCTTATACACAGCTGATATGATATTACAACTTAAAGTGATTATAATACACAGTTACTCAGATTAATTGTAACAAAATATTTGGGCTGAATTTCCATTTGTTGAAATCAAAGCACTTAAGGGTAATACTTTGGTATCAACAATCGTCAGACAGAACCTACCTACTAGGCAAGGTTTCAAAACCCTGACTGGTTTCTTGCCAGCTTGTCCATGGCTTTGTGGTAATCCACTGAGGCAGGAGACTCTGGGTCCATGCACAGCCCACACAGCTTGAGAACTCCCTGAGACCACAATGGAGTTGTCTGTCTCTGATGTGAGTGCCCAAATCCTCATACTGTTAGAAGTTTGACATGCTGACTACCATCACATCAAGGTTCCTGAGCACTCACACACATGAAAATTTGAATTTACACCATTCTTCAGAAATTTCATTTCTGTTCATTAATGCTACCCACACTGACAATGTGTGCAACATGTTAGCTACAAAAAAATCATACCAGCTGGACATGGACAGGTATACAAAACATACTGATGGGTGCTAAGCATTAGCTCAAAAGGCCATGGACGTGGGCCTCAGATCTGGTGGCAAATGAGCTAAACTGCTGTGCTCACAGTCAAAGTGGCAGCCAGTCAGAAATGGAGGTCATTGGGGATCAATAGTGGGTCCAATCCTGTTCAATAGACTATCTGGATGATGGGACTAAATGCATCCTCACCATGTGAGGAGCACACTACGTGAATCTTGGATAACAAGTAGATGTGCTGGAAGAAAGTGTCACTACACAGAGACTGGAAGCTGAAAGTCTGGGCCAGTTCAAGAAAGATGTTAAAAAACTGGATGAGGTCCATCAGAGGACCACCAAAGTGATTAGAAAGTTGAAAAACATGCTGAAGAAGAAAAAGAAATTCTGCTCTAATGTAAATAAGCACCTGAGATATACATCCCATGTCTCCATGCTAAATTTAACCAAATTCTTTGGTTAGCTACATTTCCATATTCTTGCAATGTTTGGTGACACAAATTAAAGGAATTTGAGCTCATTTTCCATTAGTCCTATTGCTAGGTTTATGTACAAAAATCCAGATTTCTGGAATATTCCCATATTCTATTATATTTAATCCATACTTTCCAAAAAAATACCTGACTGCATTAACTTTGAAGATCAGTATTACAACAAACACATTTGGCCTCCACCGTATAACACATGGAAGATTTATTAAGTATGATAACTGGTGTGCCTAAGTTTTGTCAACTAGCACAGCAAACCTTAAGTTCTCAGCTGAGGCAGAAGCCATAACTGTTGAGCCACAAACCTGCCCAAATCCATGGGCCTGAAACTGTACAGTCTTGCAAAAGGAGCCCATAGGTAAGTTTTACACTACTTCTCTTCCTGAAACAGCACTTTCTTTCACATAAACTTTCAAAATATAAATTTTCAAATGCAGAATTGAGGGTTAAAAAGGAATTTTGCTGAGCTGTTCAAGAGAAGACAGCAGTTCAAGAGCAACACTGTGACAAACATTCTGCACTCTTCTTGAGCCCAGATTAATTCTGCCACTTAAATAAATTCTGCAGACCAGCTCTGTGTTCACTGTAATGGCCCCTTCTGCTACAATCTACTTTAAAAGATACTAGAAGATGATTTGCACAGCAAATACAGTTTGTCTGAAGCAGACTGGATTTTCCAAGTTTGTGTATAAGGAAAATGCAAACTCTGAGCAAAATCTTTTCTTTCGTTATATCAAGAAAAAATACAGAAGATGGTGAAATGCATGTGATGACACAGAGCAAATATTAACACGTAGGGGAAACAGAGAAAGAAACAGATACTGTCTCAATGAATTAGAAATTCCTATAATCTGCAAAATCAGCTCTTCAGCCAAATTTCAACTTATTATCATAATTCTCACTTTTTTTCCTAATGTTTTGCCACAAATGCCAGTTATGGAGAAGAATCTCAACTGTGTTCAGTAACGATATAACTCTTGCCTCAGTTTACAATTCTACTTTCTGGTAGGCTACGGTATATACCAGAGCATAAGAGCCTTCCAATACATTAAAATATGACAGAAATTCAGAAATAGATAAAATTAATTACTTGGAAAAAAGAAGCTAACATCTTCTAAACTGTAATAAATACATTAAAATTGTTACATGCTATGTATGCCAAACCCTCCTTGTCCAAATCACTTGATCTAAGTGACTGAGGTACAGCTTACAATCTTTTTCCAGCTTGACTGTTTCAAGCTTGAAGTCCCTTTAGGTTGATTGTAAAGACACTTTATTTTCCACTGAAACATATATTAAACACCTGCATCAAAAAAAAAGTAAAAAATCTCTCCCCACTGCATCTGGTAACACTTCAGGCTTGCTTTGCAACCCTGTTAATATCCTGTTCTCCACGCTCCTCACATCTAAAGTATGTGAATATTATGCTTAAGGAAAATATTTTGGTAAGCATGTCACAGTACCTTGAAATTGTGGCGAATCACTGGGTTGATTTATCAATTGATCTTCATCTGTTCAGATTCTGGAAGCTTTCTCTAACTTGTATCTGATTAATTCTGAAACAAAACAAGGAGTAAAGCAGTAAGACATTAGAAACCTTATTTCAGTTTCATAACTCAACTACATCTATTTAAAATCTAATACGAAGCGTTCGATCAGCTTTACAAACACATTTTCTGCATTGAAAGGTAAGCACGGAACTGTTATGCCTTCTTTGCACAGAACAGCTCTTTAAACGGCAGCCTGACATTACCAGAAAGGTATGCATTGGTTTAAATCTCAATCTTCAGCACAGTTACTGCGCTTACATCGCCAACCACTGACCAGATTTCCAAGCAGAAATTGGTGTCTGTATCGCCAGCTGGTAAAACGACAGCGCTGTATTTTCTGCACAGGATTTTTCTAGAATATAACACGACTCCAATAACAGGAGCTCTCGGTACGCAGTCATTGACATTTTTACCACCATGTCACAGAACGTGGATAGCTAAAAATGATCCCCTGTGTAAGAGTCATTAGTGACTATTACTGTATTGCTCATGAGGGATTTAATAAAAATTAGAAAGATACACAGAGCGAAGCTTTTCCCACAACAGGAACTTCCCTGATTTCAAGCTCAAGTTATTAAAATCCTTTCATTTAATGCTGACAAACTTACTATTTACATAAATTTCAGCATGGTTGGCTTTGTTTTAGTGTAAATTAATGCCTAATTGGCTGAAACTTTAAAATGATTTTCACCCATCCTCATGCATGGGTTATATTGAAGATCAAATAATTGGCCTTAGTGTTTTGAAGTTAAACCAGCATTTTTCCTTCATTTTACTAAGAAGCCATGAAGATGGATATAAATAAGCCATCTAGTGCTGCGGACGGATGACACTTCAGCGAGAATTATTTTTTCCTCTCCAAGGATTAAAGTCCAGACAAGAGGAATGCAGTCCAAGAGGGCATCCGAGCCGTGCCGGGGCGGGAGGGCTCAGCCCGACGGAAGGTGCAGAACGAAGCTCTTCCTGCCTTCTGGGAAGCTGCCTGCAAACTGACTTCATGCCTTCAAATTGTTTTTGTGTGCTGAGGACAAGACCCTTTCTTCTCCTTTTAAATTGCAGCTTACCAGCTGACATGGGCTGGACTGATAAGACCTACAGATACATTTATGGTTTCTTACCTTCACTAAGCTTGACTCTGCTCAGTAACATACTTGAGCCTAAGAAGCACAACAGAGCTTCACGATATTCTAATTGCTTGGTAAAATAAATAAATACATACAAATTCTTGTCTTCGGTGGACAACACTTGAGAACAAGTACAGTATTATTTTCTCTCCCCTCTGCGTTTACTGTTCTGCTTTACGGCAAATAAGACTCGAGGTAACTGACTGTTAGCAAGTCTCTACACTAGTAGAAGTCTCAGAAATTATAAATAAATGTTACACAGATCTAATCACAGATCTAATCAAATCCTACAATACTAAGCTTTCTCTTCAATTCTTCTTGCTGCTCGCTGGGAAAGGAAATGTTTGTCAAAAACGTTTTCGTTTTTCCATTGCCTGTTTAGGACATGAATTCATGCAGACTCTCCCCTTTGCAGAACATCACTCAGTGCTCAGCCTCACAGTCTCAGCCCCTTCAAGCATATGACCTTCCTGCCATGAAAGTAACTCAACTGCTTAATCTCAACCCCAATTTCTTAGGGAATTCGGGAGCTCTGCATGCAGAACGCCCTTCCTTTTATCTTGATTTAAATGTTACAAGTTGGATAAAAGGCAGGTTTCACTGCTTCGTGCAAAAATGGAAACCAGAAAGTCACCCATAAAACAGAAGGCTTCTCTGAAAGCTTAAAAATCTGGGAATAGGGCAATCAGTGGGAAGTACAAACAATGGAGCAGATGAGGGTGAATGAA